GACTGTCAGAAGGACCTTGAGTAGGTTTAAAGCCTAGTTCTTTCAGACACAGTTCTCTGCAGGGACACAGTTCTCTGCGGGGCAGCCTGGGATGCAGGTTCTCATGGCCTCATCTATAACAGGACAGTCTGGGCTAAAGGCCTTTATCTTCCTCCATGTTCTAGGATTTCTTTCTTACCTGAGCTTAGAGTAAAGGTAACAAGATTAATACTACAATTTAGGTCATGTGCCTTTTTTTTTCTAAGATTGTTTCAATCTGTACAATTTTACTAAACAGAGCATGGCATGGAAAGTGATAACATCACATGGAAAAGGAACCCACAAAGGAGGAACTCAGATATTTTGTCTTGAAATGAAAATATGGTAAATGAGAGCTTTCTCTAAAAAAATGGTACTTGTCTTTTGAAGTTACTTAGCTGATGAAATCATAAATATACCTAATGATTCCAGAAAAAAATACTACCATTTATTGTCAGTAAGTCATAAAAAACTTATTTAAAATATAATGGAAATAATAGGTACCTGTAATTCATGAGAAAAAGTATCTTGTTTATGAAATGAGGCCTAATTATAATTTAATAATAAATATTAAGGTTTCTTAAATATATTTTCTAATGTCATTTTGAAATTTTCCAATTAGCTAAGATAGGAAAGTTCCAGAATCACCAAGAGAATCAGTAGTGAGCTTCATATCTAACCAAGTTTTCTGTGGTTTTGTGTAAGAATTTCCCTTAATTTTATTGCCTATGATTCACTGTGAGCCACGGTGCATAATTTTCCTACCCACCTTTTTGATTTTCCTTCCAATAGTATTTTCTTTTTCAGATGTTGATTTTGGCAAAGTTGAACATAGTTGACACAGCTGATCCTGTTTATTTTTTATTTATTTTTTCTTTTTGGGTTACACCCAGCGATGCACAGGGGTTACTCCTGGTTCATGCACTCAGGAATTACTCCTGGCTGTGCTTGGGGGACCATATGGGATGCTGGAAATTGAGCCCGGGTCGGACCTCGTGCAAGGCAAACGCCCTATTCGCTGTGCTATCACTCCAGCCCCTGGTCCTGTTTAAATGACAGCTGTTTTCTTTGGGGAGGTTGAATCAAGTTATACGGCTTCTCCTGCTTACTAAAGTGCTGCCTAAATTGAGGAAAATCAAAAATGACTGATGTCAATGTTAGACACCATCCTTGTGCCTGACAAAGATACTGGCAAATTGCTCTCACTAAGGCTGACCATTGAAAATGGATTTTGACAAGTCAATCGGTGTGAATGAATTTGAATTCTTCTTATCAATACCACACATTCATGTTTTTTAAAGTAGGAAATATAAACAGGCTGGGAAATAGCTCAGGGATCCATGGTTCATGCCTTGCATGAGCTGAGCAGGGGTCCCAAGCTTGATCCCCAGCACTGGCAGGGTCAACTCTGAGTCTCCTGAGCATCATCATGATGTCCCAGGTGGGGCGTGAAACCACCAACCCCAAGCAAACGTTGACAATCTGACCAGTTTAGTCCAGTATTACTACAGGTGGCCCCTAAGCCATGTGGGAAAGCCTCCTAAAAATAAATGAAAAACAATAGCACTGTAACACTGTAACATCGTTGTTCATCGATATGCTTGAGCGGGCACCAGTAACGTCTCACAACAAATTATGAGACTTGTTGTTACTGTGATTGGCATATCAATATGTCACAGTAACTTGCCAGGCTTTGCCGTGCAGGTGAGATACTCTCAGTAGCTTGCTGGGCTCTCTGAGAGGGGCAGAGGAATCGAATCCAGATCGGCCGCATGCAAAGCAAATGCCCTACCAGCTGTGCTATCGCTCCAGCCTGAAAAGCAATAAAGAATCATAAAGGAAATAGTAGCTCCCTATTCTTCCCCGGGTTTTCTGCCAGTACTTTCTTCTGCAATCAAGTTGGTGTCTCAGCTCAAGTGAGCACTTGGAAAAAGAGAAGGAAAGGAAAAGGAGTGAACTAACTTGGTGACTACCATATCAGCAATGGTGGGAAACCTTTAGGGATTATTGATAAACCAACAATGCTGTTTCAACACATCATTTTGTAAAGCAGAGAACATCACTCCTTTATTCAGAGTCTCACATCAGATACCTCAGGCTCCAAAATTATTTTATCCAAAAGGAAATCTGACTTTATAGAATAGGTGGGAGGCCAGGAGTGGATTTTTAAAAGAGGTTTATACCAGTTAGAGAAAGAGAGATAGGGGGGAGAGAGAGACACAGAGAGAGAGTGTGTGTATGTAAAAAGCAGAAAGCCAGAACATTCTCCTAACTACACAGCCATTTTGGTTCATGCTTCTTGCTTCAGGAATCACTCCTGTCTATGTTCTGAGGACTTTATGTGGTGCCAGGGATCAAACCAGAACCAGTGTCAGCTTTAGCGCCTGTACTCTCCCTCCAACTCCACAAAGATCTTTATGTTAGTCTCTTGGTCCATTATCTGAACTCTCCTTTGCTCTTCATAACAACACCCAGTTCCTCCCTCCCTCCCTTTTTTGAACTAGGCTGTGCCTGGTACTTTGAACAGTAGTGAAGGGTTATCATGGGCTACTGTAATCAAGAACCACAGACGGAGAGTCTGAATATCAGAAGTTCATTTCCTCCCAGTCCTGGGGGTTAGAAATCCCTAAGTCAAGGTATGTCATTCTAAGGTTCCTGTGACATTTGTCTTCCAGGTCTTTCATGTATGCCTCCCCCTGAACCCTCATTGGTCTTTATTCTGTACCCTTCTAGGTGTCCATTTGTCCAAGCATCCATCTTCTTAGAGCAGATTAAGACTCAATGGTCTCATTTGCACTTCCTCCCCTCATGAAATCTTTGATTTCTATTAGAATCATATTTTGAGGTACTGGATCTAGGGCTTGAACATAGGAATTTAAAGAATACAACTCAACTCGCAATAGAGACAGAAGCCATCTAGAGATATGGTTCAATGGGTAAGGTGCTTGCATTGCATGCACCCAACCTGAGTTCTATTTCTGACACTGAATATGGTCCCCAGAGCCCAACTAGGACTGATTCCCTGACTAAAGAGGTAGGGGAAGCCCTGAGCACCACCAGGTATGACCCAAGAATCAAAATGCAAGCAAGCAAAGGCTTGGATGTTATTATTTCTGGGAGATGGAATTGTCCCAGTCAGTAGCCATAGTCAACATCTATTCTTGAGGCCAAGAATGGTAGACAGGAAGGCGCCTGGCCCCCCTGAGGTGGGTAACTCAACAGTCCTTGTCCTCTCAGTGTAGAAACAGCACATGGGGGCTCTTCGACCACCTTCAGCCAAGATTTCTAGACTTTTACATCAGGATAGATACTCGAACTCAGGATTATAGAATCAAAATCTGAGAGCCACCTGTGTATTTTAATATTTCAAGTAGCTCCATTATTAATTAATGGGGGTGGTTGGATGAATGGGGTATATGGAGTTGAATAATCCTTCTTTATGCTGATAGATTCAAAGCAATACCATTCTAACATATTTAATATTTAAAATGACTCATGAGCTAGTTTTCACTCTTTCTGCAGACTGAGTCTTGGGAAGGCTGTCTATTGTACATGCCTGTAGCCCTTCTTAAGTCGGACTTGCCATGGAGCAGGCATTCAAGGAATCCATGGGTCTAATAGCTGTACAACACAATTCTAATGTTTGAACACACCCCTTGGGTTGATATTTTCTTTGGTAATGAAAATTCACTAGAAGTCCTTCACAATTCAGTGACAGCTACACTTCCAAAATGTTGGAAAAACTTCCTTCTTTCCCTTAAAACAGCAGAGTAGAATTTCCTCCCTAGGATCCCTTGGGGAATATATTTATCATAAAGCTTCTCAATGAGCAGGAGACAAACAACATTTGTGGGTCATGTGGGTGACCAGTGCCTGGAGAAACTGGTGGGATGGTATGCTGTATTCAGACACCAATGTCAAGTATCTGATGACAGGTGGCAGTGTCACTGGCTTAAGAGGTTGGACCTGGAGGAACTCAAGGAAAAAGCAACACCTAAAGGGGCTGGGAGAGAACCTGGAATAGGGGAACAAGGCTGTAGATCACTTCCTAGAACTGGGGAACTAACGAGGGGTTGGTCTGAAGCCAGCAAAGTTGGTGTCTTAGTTACTGTAGAGGGGTATAAAGGACCTCAGATAACAGGGCTTACTTGACTAATGGATTCACTTATTGATCAAGCTAAAATATCTAAAAGAGGAAGATCAAGAAATCAATCATGGAGCATTGTATTAAATACCCAGTGTCCTGCCATCCTTCTTCTCTGGAAAAGAAAAATAAAAAATGATGTCATCTACTTTAGTTTTACTTCTCTGAATTTTGACAGAAATTTCAAAAACCATTCTTCTAAATTATTCCAAATAGCTCCAAAGAGAGGCAGTTTGTTGGCGAAGGACCAGATTGCCTCTCCTCCATCAGAAAAAAACTCACATCACTTTCATTGTTCTCAGCCTTTAAAGAAAGAATTTTTTCTTACTCAGAAAGCTCTGCATTTGGGGCCAGAGCAATAGAACAGAGGGTAGAGCATTTGTCTTTCACACAGCCAACCCAGGTTTGATCCCCAGCATCCCAGGAGTAATTCCTGAGTGCAGAGCCAGGAGTAACCCTTGATACTGGGTGTGACCCCCCAAAACAAGCAAAAAATAAATGCTCAGAAAGTTTTGCATTGCCAGGGCAATTCTAACTTCAGTGCAGAAGACATATTAGAACAAAGAAACTATTAATAGAGGATGTCTGTAATAAAGCTGAAGTAGAAAACAGAAGTATTCTGAAAAGAGAAGTGTAAAATGAAAAAAAAATCGCAAGATATTCTTTCCTCCAAATGAGAAGATTATCTTGCTGGTAGACTATATTTCTAAAGCAAGAGAAATCTTTGAGATGATCATACTGCCTCTGTTTGGATTTTTTCCCCCTATATTATCTAGCTACTAAGTGAGAGAAGAGAGAAAGTGTTCAATTAAAATGTAAGACTTGTTTCCTTGCTCAGAACCGGCTCCTCCGAAATCACTTTTCGCTGTGAACAAAACCCAGACGTCAGTGACTCTGCTGTGGGTGGGACAGGGGGTGGCTGATTTCTTCGAAGTCTTCTGCATGCAAGTTGGCTCCAACCCGGAAACAAAAATGCAGGTACTGTGCATTTTTATTTTCCTTATGGGGGGGGGGGTAATTTTGATGCAGGCTCATGATTTGAGCAAAATTGAAGCTTCTCTTTCTTTGAACTGTAGAAAATGAAGGTTGATGGGTCCTTTTGTGTTTGAGTGATGGGAACTAACCAGTGCCCCTTCTTCCCCGCCCCAACTATCTTATGAAAGTCCCTTTGTCACCCTGAAATGTCTTCGGCTCTTCCTCTTTATCTCTTGGCCCCTAATGCTTAGCTATTCCAGACCATGCTGAAAAATTAAAGGGATTTGTTTTCCTCCTGTGGTCATTAAATTCATCAAGGAAGTGGAGACAAAGCTACATAAAATAAAATGTAATAAAGATAGGCAGATGGCCAGTTATATGAAAAGCATTGTAAAGAATTAAAAGGGGTGGAAGAATCCTTTCCTTCCAGAACGTCTCATTGCAGCGGTGTGGGAATAGCTGATGCAGCACAGGGGCTGGAGAGAGCACGGAAAGAAAGGAAACTGGACCTGCGCACTGCCAGCTCAGGGCCGATCCCTGTGGATTTGGGGCACTGTATCCAGGAGTGACCCTGAGCACAGAGCTGGGAGTAGTAATTCCTGAACATTCCAGGTGTTAACCCCTCCCCCAAAAAAAGAATAAAAATAAAAGTAAAACATAGGAGCTTCAGATGCGTGCTGAAAGTAGATTATAGACCAAACATGATGACCACTTAGTGCCCGTATTGCAAACCATAACACCCAAAAGGAGAGAGAGAGTAAAAGGGAATATGCCTGCCATAGAGGCGGGGAGGGGATGGGGTATGGGTGATGGGAAGAACACTGGGAACATTGGTGGTGGAGAATGGGCACTGGTGGAGGGATGGGCACTCGACCATTGTATGCCTAAAACATAATCATGAAAGTATGTAAGTCTGTAATGGTATCTCACAGTGTTTCATTAAAAAGCAAACAAACAAACAAACATAGGAGTCTCAAGAGATTCATAGTACTGACAAAATGTAGAAGGAGGTTCTATAGCTGGATAGTAAGAAAAAATAGTTTGGTTCAGGAGAATAAAGGCTGAGAGAGGTGATCTGGATTCCCCAGGACCAGGTCAGATGAGCACTGAGTGAGAGAACGAAGACAAGCCCAGAGCTCTAGGGCTGTGGAACATAGCCAGAGGAAAACAGACCTTCCATCCAGACGCGGAGGAAGGAGGACAAGTTCGAGAGCTCAGACACACGGCCAGGATATAGACCAATCCCGCGGACATGAGCACTGGATATCTTTTATGTAATGAGGGTCCTGAGATTGGAAAGAGTATTATTGGGAAGTACAAATCTTTCCACCAGAGGCTTAAGATAATTGGATTCCTCTCTCTCACCTTTGGTTGCCTTTTCCCAATTACCACCCTTTTGACCTGCACTGCACAGCCAAATCTGTTTCCTATTCTGAGGGTCCTTTTTGAACATAATTTCTCTGCTGGGAGTGGATTTTTCTTCTCTACAACTCAGCGAAACAGTATTTCTTCCTGTAAGGTAAAAAGTGATAAGTAGCTGCTTTTCATGTCCTGAGGTAGGATAATAAAGAGATGAGAGTAAGAGATATCCTCATACCTTTCCTCTGTTTAGGCAGGAGTGTTATGGAGGTTGGTTGTTTTTTTTTTTTTTTTTTTTTTTTTTTTTGCTCTTTGGGTCACACCTAGCAATGCACAGGGTTTACACCTGACTCTGCACTCAGGAATTACTCTTGGCAGTGGTGCTCAGGGGACTATACGGGATGCTGGGAATTGAACCTGGGTTGGCTGTGTGCAAGGCAAACGCATCTATCCGCTGTGCTATCACTCCAGCCCATTGCGGAGTTTTAAGGTTATGCTGATAACCCTTTCCAGTGGTCCTGGTTGCTAATCTCACCACTGTCTCACAGAGGAGTGAAATCATGTCTTTCTTCTTCTGATTGATCTCACTTAGCATAAAATCTGCCATTTCCATCCCGGTTTTAACTGATTGTAAAATCTCATCACTTATTTTTAAAAAATTACTGAGCATTGTTTCTATATACATCATTATCTACTCACATGTCAGTGGACACCTTGGGTTTGTCCAGATCTTAGCTATTGTGAACAGTGCTGCAATGAACTTCTCAAATCAGTGCTGTCATATTTTTCATGTTGAGATGACCACATGGAAAACAATGCTTAGTGAATCTTGTTAGGAAAACTCATACCAAAACCACATTAAAAAATGTTCATCCCATGTTATTAGGGAAACTCAAACCAAAACCACAATGAGAAATCTCACTCCTGGGCCCACATCAAGAAGACCAGAAGCCACAATGCTTAGCCTGGGTGTGGCAGAAAAAGGAATTTCGTACACTGTTGGTAAGAATGGAGATTGGTGTAGTCACTTTGGAAAACAACATAGAGGTTCCTCACAAACACACACACACACACACACTCACACTCACACACACACGTGCGCACACACACACACACACACATATATATTCACCTTTTGGTACTGCAATTCCTCTCTGAAGTACTGATTCAAAGAGTAATAATGAATTCTTTCGAGAACTCAGTCACGTTGTCTTTGCTAGAACTTGAGAAGGCTGACAGTGGACGTGCTGTATTTAAAGAACTGCTACAAATAAGATAACAATCAGCAACTCCAGCACCCCCTTATAAAGGAAGACGTAAAAATGACCCACCTCACCCATGGTGAAGGAAATGCAATAAAATGATCACAAGTTACAATAGTCACTAATATGATTGTGAGAGTTGGTGATCCTGTTGTGTTAGAAGAAAGGTAGGATAACAGACATTGTCACACTTTGATAGTGCATAGAAAGCTTGGAAAATCTCCTTACAGATGATTTAAAAATTGCTTTAAAATTAAAAAGGTACAAGTTTTGGACCCAGAAATTCAGTTATATTAATATGTCTGTGGGTTTGTTTTTACATATACATACACACAGATTTTATATATTAATGTGTGTATGGCTGCACATACAATAAGTGAGTGTACATATACAAATTTTCTTATATTTGTGAAAGTTGTTCACTGTAGTAGATTTTGTACTAGCTGAAAATCGGAGGCCAATAAGACCTATTCACAAATAGGTCCTTTCAATGGACACAGAGCTCTTAAAAAGAATTAAAAAAATTACATCAACATGGGGCTAGAGCAACAGTACAGTGGGTAAGGTGTTTGCAATAGTACAGTGGGTAAGGTGTTTGCCTTGTATGCAGCCGACATGACCGACCCGGATTTGATTCCTCCGCCCCTCTCGAAAAGCCTGGCAAGCTACTGAGAGTATCTCGCCCACACGGCAAAGCCTAGCAAGCTCCCTGTGACATATTCAATATGCCAAAAAACAGTAACAACAAGTCTCACAATTTGTTATGAGACGTTACTGGTGCCCGCTCAAGCAAATCGAGGAACAACAATGGGAGGACAGTGCTACAGTGCTACATGAGAGAAGGGCCAGAATGTACTCATAACTCAGTGAATAGATAAGCAAAATAGAGTGTAAACTGGTTTTGGATTATTAGATCCACCATCTCTCTTAGGGGGCTGGAGCGATAGCACAGCGGGTAGGGCGTTTGCCTTACAAGCGGCCAACATGGCCAACCCGAGTTCGATTCCTCCGCCCCCCTCGGAGAGCCCGGCAAGCTACCGAGAGTATTCGATATGCCAGACACAGTAACAACAAAGTCTCCAATGGAGCCGTTACTGGGCCCGCTCGAGCAAATCGACGATCAACGGGAGGACCTTTACCTTTACCTTTACATCTCTCTTAGATTATTAAACTATTGAAGCATCTGCCTTTAAACATCCATGACCTATAAACTGGCCAGAGTGGCCACTAGGAAGGAAGGATGGAAGGAAGCTCACTTTGCACTCTTCTTTCTCATCATTTAACTCAGTGGCTCTCTCCATATGTGACTTGCTCAACTCTGAAAACAGAAGAGCATGGCGATGTCCACACTATCTTATTCGTCATCTTTTCTGTCCCCAGGAACCTGTTTCTGTGTCTTCTCACGTTGTGACCATTTCCAGCCTCCTGCCCGCCACCACGTACAACTGCAGCATTACCAGTATCAGCCACGGCAGCCCCAGTGTCCCCACATTCATAGCTGTCTCCACAATGGGTAAGCCCCTCTGTGACCCGGTGTTTTGGGGAGGGATAAAGTCCCCAATTTTTCTTACATTTCCTTTTGAAGACCATGAAATTTATCCTTTTGATAAAGACACTGAGGTCCCACTGCAAAATTTCCAACTTTCTCATGAAGGGACCTCTAGTTTTAATCCCAAACTACAAGGACTAACTCTCTGACTTAGGACAAATGTTTACTCTCCCTGAATCTCTATTTTCTCACCTGTCAAACAGGGATAAGGATACATATTTTTCCATGTTATGTTGAAGTTTAGGGCTGGAACAATAACATAGCGAGTAGAGTGTTTGCCTTGCATACAGCCAACATGGCCGACCCAAGTTCAATTCCTCTGCCCCTCTTGGAGAGCCTGGCAAGCTACCGAGAGTATCTCGCCCGAACGGCAAAGCCTGGCAAGCTACCCATGTCATATTCGATATGCCAAAAGCAGTAACAAGTCTCACAATGTTACTGGGCCCGCTTGAGCAAATTGATAAACAATGGGAGGACAGTGACAGTGACAGTGTTGAAGTTTAGAAATAAAGGGCTCAAAACTCCAACCTCTGCTATCTGCTCGCTAGTTGTTGCCATGACCTTATCTTCCATCTTGCCCTCTTTTTTTCTAGTGGCCACTGTACACTCGTGACCTTGGTTCTTCTCTTTGAATCCTGGCCCTGGACTGATACTAGTAATATTCAGTTAATGGGATCAAAGCGGGAAAGCTTCCAACCAAACAGAAAAGAAATCAAGAAATTAAATATAATCTCTCTCTCTCTCTCTCTCTCTCTCTCTCTCTCTCTCTCTCTCTCTCTCTCTCTCTCTCTCACACACACACACACACACACACACATTTACACACACCACTACCACCACCACCATTTGTCAGTCTGAAGCCAGCCATACTAAAATTTTTCTCAGATCTTACTAGGTTCATCTGCATTTCTGTAACATTACTGTATTTTTAACTGCTGGGTTCAGGGATAACTAGTGAGTAGATTTCTTCCTTCCTTCCCTCTCTCATTCTGTTTTCGTTTTTTTTTTTTTTCAGAAAAGGACACACTTTAAAAGCAAATTACTACTCTCTCATTTTATATCTGTAACTCTTTTTTTTTTTCTTTTTGGGTCACACCCGGCAATGCACAGGGGTTATTCCTGGCTCATGCACTTAGGAAGTACTCCTGGCGGTGCTCAGGGGACCATATGGGATGCTGGGAATTGAACCCGGGTCAGCCGCGTGCAAGGCAAATGCCCTATCTGCTTTGCTATCACTTCAGCCCCTGTTACCCTTTCAAAACTATCTTTTTAATGATAATTATTCCTTATCATCTGTGCTGCAGCCCAGTGAGACAGGCGGTATTATTAGAATTATTTGCAATTGAAGAAAATTAAATAGAGTGAGACAGACACAAAACTGCCCCACATGGTTGTATGGAAACTAACTAGAGCTCTTCCAATAGTGACTCTAATGTTCCTTCTTTTCAAGCACTCATCAGCCCATGAACTGGTGACAAACTGATCCATATACCCAAAAACTGGCCGGTTTCTGCTTTTATGATCAATGCAGAGAATGGTGTCATTTCCCCCCTTACTCCCTGGCTCACATTGTTTAATATAAAGCACTTGACATAGATCTTTGACTGCCTCTTATTCTACTTGTCCATGTGCCACAGGAACTCGACGATGGGTAATTCCATAGTAGTTCAATCCTTGTATAAAGTCTCTGAGAGAAACACAACACTGTTCTTAAGGGCCCTGTCACCTTATGAATAGGTTTAATCTTTTGAGTTGTACAGATGGAGAACCTCTCAACATATGGTCACAGATTATCAGAATGCCTGCTTCTAGCGATGTGTTAAGTGGGGCAGCAGATGGGAGCTTGCTAATGCCTTTTTCATATACATTATTAGTTGTTTGTGAAACTGACAATTGCTTTCTGACTTTAAAGTCAGAGTCATAAACTCTTTATGTTTCTGAAAATGGTAAGTGATGATAGTGCACGGAAGTGCTTTCCAGAGACTGGTTTCGAATGTGTTAAAACTCTGTAACAGGACATTATTCACCATTTACTTTCTTTCTACCATCATCCCAAATGTAGGTCTTTGAGATGAACTCAATTCTCCCCAGCCTCTGGGCCCCATTTTTCCATCTGCTTTATTAGGTCATAGTTGACCAGGAAGAGGTCCTTGTCAGCTTGGAGATGCACTAATGCTGGTGTGAGGATCCTCCAGAGTCGATCACTCTCCAAATCAGACGGAGAACAATGAATCGTTCTATTTGTTTCCTGTGATGGGAGCTGTACTGAAGACATGTGCCTTGTCTCTTTAGTTCCAGAGATGAATCCCAATGTAGTGGTCATCTCCGTCCTGGCCATCCTTAGCACGTTGCTGATTGGATTGTTGCTAGTTACTCTGATCATTCTCAGGAAGAAGCATCTGCAGATGGCTAGGTGAGTTACGTCACCCTCAACCTTTGCATTCGAGGTATTTATCGAACCTGGATGGCTTTTCTAGGGCTAAATTGGATAATGCAGTTTGATTTCAGTTCCCTTTGTCTATATCTGTGTGTTTTCTACATGGACTTTTGGTTTTAATTAGGCTTTTGGGCCATGCCTGGTAATGTTCAGGGGTTACTCATTGGATTTTTGTTTAGGAATTATCCTTGTGAACTCAGGGGACCAACAGAGTGCTGGGGATCAGACCTGCCACAAGGAAAGGAAAATATGTCTTCTTTCCCTCCTGGCTGCAATAAATTTTGGGTTCACAATCCGCAAAGCACTAGAATTTAACAACCAGTGACATTACTTTGTCATTTGTGGAAATATTTACTGTCTTTTTTGTTTTGTTTTGTTTTGGAACCACACCTGGCAGTGCTCAGGACTCACTTCTGGGTCGATACTCAAGGATCGCTCCTTGTGGGCTCAGGGGACCATATGTGGCTCAGGGGATCAAACACAGATTGGGCCGGATGCAAGGCAATTGCCCAACCCACTGTACTATCTCTCCAGCCCCCTATGTAGAATTTTAAATGTAACGTTAGAAATTCATTTGCATTGAAATGATAATGCCTTGTTTAATTACACAAAGTAATAGGAGTACTATCAATCTTGTCATTTTAAGTAGCCCTTACACAGGGCTTTGTTCCTTATATGCAGATACTTTCAAACATATTTTAGAATAAAAGAAAGATCTATCCCTGTTTAAGATGATTAATGCAAAAAAATGAATATAGATGAAGTCTACTGGAAAGAACATAGGGAAAAAATACCTCCTTGAGTTAGTTATGTTAAAACTGATTTTTCCAGAAAACTCTTGTAAAGTTTATGATCAGGTCCATTAGACGTTCCTATTGGTTGTTTTCCTGTTACTCTGAGTTACAGATGGTTTTGCTTATCTTGCAGCTAGGAAAGCTTTTGATTTATGATTTTGGTGAGTCCTTATTTCTTTGCCCACCCATGCACTTGTTATGCAAGCTCGTCTCAAGTACACTCTGCTTGTCTTCACAGTCTCAGAGCAATCCATCAATTCCCCTATAAAAACGGATGTATCATTTGGGTTTGGGAAATTTGGGTTTAAACTTGGCTGTACATTAGGGTTTGAGGAATTTGGTTCAAACTCTTTTCTGCCCAGTGTTAGCTTTCCTCTTATTCAGAGTTTTGATTCACTATTACAAATACACGTATCTATCCAATGTTAATTTATTGGTGCCTCATTTGGCTCAAAGAAAAAACAGATATCTAAGCTGTCCAATAACTTAGAATCTAGCAGGAAATACAAAAAAAAATACCTAAAACTGTAAACTTACCTGTACTATAAAGATTCAAAATGAGAAATCATGAAAGTAGAAAAAAGAAATTAAAATGATTCTTTAGAGGAAAACCAAGCTTCTTTAATGTTGCTTGGCATTTGGTTAAATCTTGGGAAGACTCAGGGAGATGAGTCTGGCACTCGCTTGAGTGTAGAGCACTTCAATGACGCTCCTTGAGGTGAAATCCTCACACAACCTTTTTTTTTTTTGGGGGGGGGGGTCACACCCGGCGATGCTCAGTGGTTACTCCTGGCTCTGCACTCAGAATTACTTCTGGCGGTGCTTGAGGGACCATATGGGATGCTGGGAATCAAACCCGGATCGGCTTTGTGTAAAGCAAACGCCCTACACTCTGTACTATCACTCCAGCCCCATCACATAACCTTTGTATAGATCTCTGAACATCATTCTTACGTGTAAGAAACATTAACGAGGGGGCTGGAGAGAAAGCACAGTGGTTAGGGCGTTTGCCTTGCACACGGCCGACCTGGTTCGATTCCCAGCATCCCATATGAACCCCATATGAGCACCGCCAGGAGTAGTTTCTGAGTGCAGAGCCATGAGTGACCCCTGTGCATCACCGGTGTGACCCAAAAAGAAAACAAAAATTAACAAGCTCCTAAAGCTGGAGAAATAATGTAGGATTTAGGCACTTGTCTTACATACAGCTGACCCCAGTCAAGTATAGAAAACTTGCTGTACTTTCTATTAACAAATCTTATAAGTACTGATGATATTGTGACTTACTGCCTAATAATTGAAGAGCCTGCTAAATTTCAGTTAATGTGAAAATAAAAATGTTCTTCTCCCCAAGTACCTTTACAGAACTCTAAACCCTGTCCTTAAACCCCAGATCAAGACCGCTTGACTGAGAGGTTAAAATGAATTCTTTTGTGTTGAAAATTGACACAGGAAAATTAATTAACAATGTATCATTTGCAATAGAATACAACAGCAGAAAGAAGAAAACTATTCTTAGGGTATGAATAAGAACAGGCAAAAAAAGTGAAGGGATTATAATTAGCAGTGTGCTAATCACATCAAATTGCTGCTTTAATTCTGAATAGCCCCCGATTTCAGATAAAGGGAAGAATTAGAGACCTGAGCTGTGACTGTCCAGACCAGGCCAAAGATGGAGCAGGTGCACGAATGCCTTTGACTTTGGCCTTAAGTTATGTTGAACAAAACCTCAATTGTATGTTATTTGTTTTTGTTTGGGGGGGGGGCACACCTCGCACTGTTCAGCGGTTACTCCTGACTCTGCACTCAGGAATTACTCTGGGAAGTGCTCAGGGTACTATCTGGGATGCCAGGGATTGAACCCAAATTGGTTTTGTGCAAAGGAAACACTCTACCTACTGTATTCAACTGTACTCTAGTCCACAACTGTATTTTTTTAATAGAGACCACAAGCTTCAGTACTCAGGGGATCCAGAAGCCTTTCCTGGCAATGCTCAGTGTGGTGGTGACATTTTAGTTCCAGAACTGAGGGCTCGGTTTATCACCAGGGCTTATATCACATTGCAAGGGAGTCAACTCAGGGCCTTACATGTCTCTGTCACATGTAAGTGTGTCTTACATGTAAGTGTGTCTTACATGTAAGGAGGTGTCTCCTCACCTCGTCAATAGCATTTTTGCTGACACATTCTTAAGCGACCTTAATAGCCTGGCACAGCAAAAGTCTGTCCACTTGAAAACCTATCACTTTTTTTAAGCTTAGCAACTCAAGTGATTCATGAGCATCCCAAGAGGGAAATAACTGGTGGGTGGGATGGAGGGAAACAGTCTAGCTTGAAATAGCAATTAAGCCCTGCAAAGTTATAGACTGAAAATGGAAACCCTTCATTTTTTAGAAGGATATCTAGACCTTACTTTTGAAGACCTTATAAATATATGTGTGTGTGTGTGTGTGTGTGTGTATGTATATTCTATCCCAGAGAGTTTAAATATTTGCACCAGGATCACGAATGTCTTTTGGAAAGAGTGTGAAGCAAATTCTTTGCGTCTGAAATGTAACTTGGGTGTATGTGATCTTGTGAAAATGTTTTATCTTTCTTTTTTTTTCCCTTTGTGTATGAAAGAGCACCATGTGAAACTTATATTAGCATTTTATTTATTATTTATTTTTACACAATGCTATGCTGTGCTGAGAAGCCAGTGAAACCTCTCTTTTAGATCGAGGGAAGAGAGTGTCATATTATGTGGTGACTTTGATTTTGTGATTCTTTCCACAGGGAGTGTGGCGCTGGGACCTTTGTCAACTTTGCATCCTTGGAGAGGGACGGCAAGCTTCCATACAACTGGTGAGTGTGGGTTCAGAACTAGCCTCTCAGAAGTGAAGCTGTGTGCACTCCCCCTAACGTGATTTTCCTACCTTCTGAGTCCAGATGCCTTTGTGTGGTTCATAATTTCTTTGGCCTGTGGACTTTGAAAAGTTAGAGCTTCAGAGTATGTTACATAACCTTAGTCAAGTAGAGAAAATGCCAGTTCTTAGGATTTCTAAAGTTAAACCAAGGATTACAACATTCAAACTAATAGCCTGTAACTCTACCAAGAGAAGGATTTAAATGCAGGTGCCACCCACGGTGCATGGAAGCTGGGAGCCCGCCGACAACCCAGGAGAGCTGCAGGGTCACTCAAACCCACATTGTCAGTGCAACGTGGGTTTCTCCCACTTGGGCCCACGGCTCTCACATTGACTGACAAATAAAAATTTCCAAATCAGAAAGTCCTCTGACAAAACTTGGTTCCACCTTTTTTCATGCTTGAGCATTCGATGTGGGTGAAAGGAGGTATTCTCAGAATTGAAAAAGTGACATTAATTAAATTGGTTGACTTTCTGCCTAACAGTGAGACATGGGAGGTAATGATCCTGTGTACACACTGAGCCCCACCAGCTTGTAATGCTTTCATAGGAAGATGGCACTACTTAATATTTAAATACTGATATTAATTAATATTAATTATTTGTCAATTAATAATTAATATTAATTAACTAGTGTCTCATAATAATTCCTGAAAAGTATTTATATCTTCTACTTTCCTAGTCCCTCACTGATCAGTTTTAAATAAATAATAATAATAAAAAAGACAGATGACATGGGCAATCTTCCTCCACAGAATCCTTTGTGGGCGAAGGGTTTATTTCAAATAAAATCTACTTCCTGGAGTTGACATCTGTGCTCTCTTCAGTTAAAAATATAATTGAGATAGGGTTTTTTTTTAAACCAGGGGCCATGTTTTGCTATTTTTTCCCATTTTAATCTAAACGGAACTTGCTATTGAAATATGCTTCATCCAACTATGAAGAAAGAGTGACCTATATACCCACCAGGGTGAAAAACTAGAAAACATTTCTAAATTTGTCCAACCAGTTTACACAGTCTCCATGATAAGAGACTCTTGAATGTTTGTCACAGATCAGGCCCCTTTTTTAGGAAAGTCAGGCAGAGTGATGAGGGACCCCTCTGGGAACTGACTCTTTCTGACGAACGTCTGCAGAAAGCCTTCTCCTGAGCAATGGCACAGCCAGTCCCAGTCCCTAAATAATGGGGGACATAGTCTGAGAGAACTGAAGCAAAAGAGAGTTCACTTCAGGACCTTTGTTTGAAACCAAAAATATTCTCAAGGATTTATTCGTGAGGCTATCGTTAACAGTATTATATCTTGGCATCTCAATGAAAGTGGGAACCTAAGAAAATTCTCCAGCAGCACTTGGCTAAGACAGTATTGCCAGCATGCAGGGTATAAAACCTTTCTGCACATGTTGCGCCCATGGAGATTTGTAACAAAGGGACAGGGGACACCATTCTCCCCCTGACTCTAGAATAGCTAGAGAAGTCGCCGGGGGATATTTAAAAATCTGTATTAATAGCTATTCTCTTTTACAAGTGATTTGATTTTCTGAAATTGCATTCTCATCTGGCAATTGTAGCCAAATTCTGAGTTAGAATTAAAATGAAATGAAATCACTTTGCTCCCATTTAACTGAGGTTTAGCAAGATTCTATTCTGGAGAGCGGAAGGGTTACTTAGTTTGAATGAGTGATTCTGGAGGTCACGCTAAATCTCTCTTTCAAAGATTATTTTTTAGACATCATGTATTAGTTTAAATTAGAATATAAAAATTCACAGCTAGTAACGCTACATTATAAGAATGTGTCTAAAAATATAGTCTTTGCCGGATCAGCATATGTGACCACGGAACATTTCTCTTTCTTCAGACAAGCTTTTTTTAGCTCTTAAATGATGTTACAGGGTCTCTCCCAGAAGGCTCATGCATCAGAAGGTAATATCAAGGACTAATACTTAAGAAGTAACTAATGAGGCATTTAAGAGCCTCATTGAACTGAATGCAAAATGTGATCACCCAATAGCTGCTAATGAACACAAAATAAGTTGAAATATGAGTATTTGATTACAGTGAGATCATGTGTGAATAGAACTGAGTTTTGTCAACATTATTGCCCGTAAACTCTCACATTTAAATTTCGCAGAATGGAGTAAAATCTCATTGTAATTATGGTACTTTTCATTCTAATTGACCCCAGTCAGTAATTGATAACTGTTCACAGTTGATTGTTACTAACTCTTGCCACTTTTTCATCTTTACATCTGTTATCTATTAATGCTCACAGGCGTAGGAGTATATTTGCTTTCTTAACCCTGCTACCCTCATGTCTTTGGACTGATTATCTTTTGGCATTTTATATTAATCCTTGGTAAGTGAAATTTTTTACTGTTTATCTAACACAAAGCCTTTGAACGTTAGCTTTTGAGAAGTAAATCAAAAGGAAAGTTTCTTTGATAGTCTGATATATGTTTGGTAGTATCATAAACTCTGAATCAAATGGGTGGAAGCAGCTTAGCAGTACCAAAATGCTAACACTAGTTAATGATTAATGGTACCAAAATTCTTGTGGTTTCCCTGTTACGTTTTCTTTTTAGGATGTTCTAGGCAAGTTTTTCTTCCTTGTGTTGTGAGTCATTCATTTCTTCCTAGAGTTGGCCCATTGGTCACTCTTCTTGGTAAATGACACTTCCGTTTTCCTTATATCACTGTCCTTTCTGGACTTTCATGCTTCCAAGAAGGCTGAGGTAGTTAGATTAGAGAAACTCTGTATTGTTATAATAATTGTAACTCAGAGACACCCAGCACTGACTGTGTGCAAACCTCATTCTATAATTACCTGGGGCAATGATCCCCATGAGACTGCAGAGACTATTATCTGATCCACTTCAGAATGTAGAAATGAGACTAAAAAGATGGTCTTCACATGCTAGAGAGACAATGCAGGTCCCAACCAATTGACTCTCCATGAACTGATTCTAGGTCTTTGAAATCCATTCTGACTCTGGGAAAAAAAAGTAGCTTTCTGTCAATTCTTCTTTTCATTAACAAGAAGAAATAATGTGGGGGGCAGGGCAATAGTACAGCAGGTAGGGCATTTTTGTGGCATGTGGCTGACCCAACTTCCATCCACAGCACAATTTCTGCTGCCCTCACCTCTTTCCAGAACCTTCCAGGTGTGGTCTCTAAGTGCAGAGCTAGGAGTAACCCCTGACTACCACTGGGTGTGGCCCAAACCCTCACCCCCCCAAAAAAAGAGAATAAATAACTTTTAGTAGAATATAAATAATTTATATTCATTTAAATTATTTTTAAGATAGAATATCCTTTTCAGTCTTTCTAAAATAATAGTATAGAATTTGTGGACTAAAGTATCTAGAAGGACTATTTCTTCCCCCTGAGTCACAGGTAAAAAGATAGGGGTTTCTTTGAGAACTGACAAAAACATTTACCATACCCAATATTAGTCTTTGGTATATATGCTTGAAATGTGCAATCCAACCCAGAATGGGAACTGCTTGAAAAGGAACTTGGAAAACAAGCAATAAAACTCTTTTGTGGAATGGAGGTTGACCATAGGCAGGAGAGGGAGGAAGCTGGAATACAGTCTGGAAAATGATTTATTCGAAAAGACAAGTGTTCCTCTGGTCTTTGGAGCCTCTTAGGGTGGAGGAACAGATGCATGCAGCTGACAATGTTTATGATTTCAAATTAGGGATGGAGAAAGTAAAAACCAACACTGAAAGACTCCCTTACAATATAGATAGTTCATTTGCATTTTATTTTAAAAAGAGAGACCAAAGGGAAACATTTGTGTCATGGTAGACACTGACATATGAGTAATAAGTCAGAGGGAGGCATCGGATGAAGATGATGACTGATGGACTATCACAATTCTTAAGTTTTGGGGGTTTCTTATAAGACCCAGATGTGGCAACACTCAGGGGCAATGGAGCTACTCCTGGTACTGCAGTGATTAGGGTGGAGAAGGGAGATACCAGGGACTGAACTTAGCCTTACATGTCCCAGCACCCAAGTGGGTTTTTTACAACAATTTTCATTATAGAGTTACAGCAGAGTCAACTCTGTATTTTTAAAACATACTTTAAAGTGGACCAGAGTTAATTTTAAGTATTTTATATTGGCTTAGTTTCAGGTACCAGTAGTAGTAATATACACTCATCTCTTTTATTTTTTGTTGTTTTTTTATAAGGAAAAATATAAAATTATATGTGACAAAGCAAAATGTTTTTATCGATCACCATTACTCTTTTTTCCCAACAAAGCATTATTTTTGATATATATAAAATATTAAAAATTTAGACATAAAAATGAATGTCCTTTTAATTTTATCCCACATTCCTTTTTGATTTCCAGGCAAGCATTTTCTTTTTATTGTCATAGTTTCTTCTTTCTTTCTTTTTTTTTTGAATCACAAAGCTGTTCATGATTGGGTTTCAGTAGTAGAATGTCCCCACATCCATCCTTCTACCTGTATACATTTCCCACCACCAATATCTCCAGTTCATCTCCTGCCACCAATCACCGCCCACCACCATCACCACCACCACCACACACACAGCATTTTTCTTCTTTCTCTCCCTTTCCCTGCTTTTGGGCATTATGGTTTGCAATATAGGTTTTGAGAAGTATCATGTATGTTCCTTGAAATTACTTTCAGCATGCAGTTCTTATCCAGAGTGATCATTTGCAACTATTATCATCATAGGTCCCTTCTCTATCCCAATTGCCCTCCCCCAGGACTTGAGGCAGGCTTCCAACTATGGGCCAATCCTCCTGCCCCTTGTTTCTACTGTCCTTGACACCCATTTCTTTTAACCGCCACCTTATTTTAACTCAACATACACTTATAATTTTCAATAGAATGCTAGAGAACACTTTCTTAATGCAGTATTTACGAAGATACCATTTCCGAGCTCACCATTGATACCAAGCCAAAGAAAGAGATAGAGATTATTATGTTCATTACTCTACCTAATTTTCTCACATTGGTTTTCTCAGAACATTTAACGGTAAACTTTCAGATGGGTCTCTGCTTATCTGTAGACTTTCTTACTAGGCCCCATTGACAAGGCCTCGCTCAGTGTCTGATAAACAGACACCGATCTGAAAGCCCGAGATGAAATCTAGGTAAGGAAAACACTCTGTTCATGTTTGGACAATGGTGCTGAGGCTTTAAATGCCCTGATGTGAGGAAAGCAAGAAGCATACAGAGTCCCAAGTTTTGTGTCAGTTTCCATCAAGCACAACCTTCCAAGCATGGCAGAAAGAGAGTATGATCAACTGTTACCCGCCTGGGCTTATGCTCTGCCTGATAAACCAAAGGAAGCTCTGGGGCCACTTTCCTTATATCTCCAAGGCCCTGAGTTCAATCCCAGCCACTGTATGAGTTGCCCCAGTCTTACTAGGGGGCTATACTGGTCTCCCCAGCAGCACTGCATCATTAGACAAGTACTACAGTGTGACCTTCAGTTTTCCCGAGTACTCAACTCCTGCCCCAAATAGAGTAAAACTCATGGATCCTACTCCTTCCAATTCAATGTGGTATGCTCCAACTCACCCAAATTCCCTTCTGTTAGCTAGTTTTCTCTCGTTCAGCTAAACTGGGGGATCTCTTGCCAGCTTTCATTGACTAACCCATCATTTGCAAGCCTCCTTCTGATGGCCTTGTCTTCACCACTGTTAAAGACCACCACCAGCAAGAGAGCCCACTGCCCTCTGCCTCTTAACACCACCCTTCTCTCTCAAGTGTCACCTCCTTGGAGAGATGTGCCTGTCTGGTGGCTGACCTCGTCATGAGACCTTGGTGGTTTGTGTGGAAATGGTGACACTGGGATATTTTTGAGCATGGAGAACCATGCTCTCTTGGCTTATTCATAAGACTGGAGCACATCTACCAGGATTTCTGACTAGAACAGTCTCAAGCTGGTGCTTCTTGGTGAAAGAAACAACTTCATTTGCATGAATTCATTCTGGATTCAGGGAGATAAAGTCCTGGTTCTATTTACTACCAGATCATCCTCATGCCCTATACATTTCTGGTCTACATGTTTGAATTGATACTGGAGTATGAAGCCATGCTTCATTTAACAAGCCTAATACATACTCTGCTAGGAGAATGCAGTAACTCTGAAGACATTTTTAAGATTGGGGAATGAGTTCCAAGTAGCTCATGAAAGAGTAAAGAGTGCTTCTGAAATTGGGGACATCTGGAGTTTGAAGTGTTTTCATTTTTCATCATTTTAAAGCCCATGTTTTTGCCATTGCCTCCTATCCCTCATTAGAAGGATTTCCAAGCTGGCCAGTTTTCCAAGACTGTCATAACCAGGACAAACTTATGAAGGATCCATCTAACTTACAGAAATTGTTAGGGTTTACCCCTTAGTGGGAAAATGGGAAGATGTGTTTGCTCCTGTGTTCATAAAAACTGTTTATAGGAGCTTGAATGATGGGAAGAGCACTTGCCTTGCATGTGGCTGACTTGGGTTGGGTCCCCCAAGACTCTGTGTTCACTCTTCAACCCACCAGAGTGATCCCTGAGTAAAGAGCCAGTGGGAAGCCCAGAGGACCTCCAGATGTGACACAATAAACCAAAAACAAAACTGTTAGTATATATGTCTGATAAGCGAGTTCAGAAGTTTTACAGAAAATCTTTTCAATGACAAAATGATACCCTGAGGGCCCGGAGCAATAGTACAGTGGGTAGGGTGCTCGCCTCATGCATGGAGAACTGGGTAGGACCCTCCAGCACCTCATATGTTCCCCCAAGCCCACCAGGAGTGATCTCTAGTGCAGAGTTGGGAGTAAGTCCTGAACACCACTGGGTGTGATAAAAAAACCAACAACAACAAACTGAAAACAAGGTGATCCTTCGAATGTTGTCCACAAAATTCAGTCAAATCATACACACTCAAGATTTTTCAAAAATGTGTCCAAATGAAAGTTGCTTAGCAGTTTTACATGTTTAACAGTGATTTTCTGCAATTGGAGAGATAGTACAGTGGGGAGAGTGTTTGCCTTGCATGCGGCTGACCCGGGTTTGATTCCCAGCATCCCATATGGTCCCCCAAGCACTGCCAGAAGTAATTTCTGAGTGCAAAGCCAAGAGTAACCCCTGTGCATCGCCAGGTGTGACCCAAAAAGAAAAAAAAGTGATTTTCTTTCCTCTGATTTTCATTTTAGAATTAGCACATTCCAGAAAATGTAGGTCAAGTCTGTGTACTGCTGTGAACTCTCATCATTCTGTTCTGCCACGGCGGTAGGATGCAGGAGCCTTTGGAATCTGGAATTTGCAAACCCTAAGGGGATCCATGAAAGCTGCGCACAAATCAGGAACACGCACACTTGGCAGAGTAACTCCCGTAACTGTGACAGAAGGGTGTACTCTCTTTAAAGCTCATTCAGCCCATGAATGAGAGAGAAGCATGCCTGTCTCTGTGACTCATCTCTGGACACAGATGTCGCATAGTAGCAGCTTAATATCACAGCACCGAATTTCCCCACTGTCACCTCCCACGTCCATTTGCTTCCAGTTTCCCACAAAATTGGATAGGACACTTCCCCCCTTCGTTTCACTCCCAGTCACAGAACACGTTGGTTGGCCTCCTGGCCTTCCCCACACTGTTGGTGCTGACAGTAGGCTTCGATAAAGCACTCCATTGGCTTCTCCTACACAAAACAAACGTGGAATTCTTCCAGTTAACTAAACTACTGTCACAAGCACTGGTACCAAGGTATTCTAAAAGAGACCTAGCCTGCAGTGCTCTGGGGCTTCAGAGTCACTTCCAACAGTGCTGGGGATGGAAGTCAGAGCTTTGTACAAGCAAGGCATGTGTTTTACCACTCAGTCTCATTCTTAGCTGTCACTAGGCCTTTCTTTCTTTCTTTCTTTCTTTCTTTCTTTTCTTTTCTTTTCTTTTTTGCTTTTTGGGTCACACCCGGTGATGCTCAGGGGTTACTTCTGGCTCTGCACTCAGAAATTACTCATGGAGGTGCTCGGAGAACCATATGGGATGCTGAGAATTGAACCCAGGTCAGCTGCTTGCAAGGCAAATACCCTATCTCCTGTGCTATCACTCCAGCCCCTCACTAGGCATTTCTTTAGGTCCCTCAGTGCCTCTCTGAGGGTGCAGTTCCTCCAGCTCCATTCAATATTACCTCAGACTGGGTGTTTTTTGTTGTGTATTTTGGTTTGGGACAGGACAGGGTGGAGGCAAAGTAAAAACGGGGCTATCTTTCCCCTCTAAGTTCCAAATATGGATGCCAGGTGATGCATGAAGGAAGAAACAGGAACTCCCAACATGGGAAGAAATGACAGCTACTGAGATCCTTAGATTGCCCTTTCTGGGCGGCTCTTTCCCTCCCGTTTTCATCCTGCTTTACTTCCTCTCCACCAAAACTCTCCTCTCCCCTCACCACCCATGAGCCGGAACTTTCAATCCCATAACAAATCATTACAGCCAACGGTGAGGGACGCACAGCAAGGCATTTCAATGCAATTCAACAAGCATCTACTTATGAACTGAAGCGTGGATTCCATTAACCAGGCTCAGGACCATGGGCAAAGAGCAGTTTAGCAGGAGGCACTCATGCGTACTATGTGGCAACACATGTGAACCCACCTGTGCTGGTGTGGAGCAGAGGCAGGAGGCTGCATTCTGCTAAAGGATATGGAAATGGGGTATATTTGTAGATATTCACTATTTTTAGCATAAGGATGTTGACGTAGCTTCATTAGATCATAACTTGTAGATTCAATATTGTTTATTTCCTGAAAGTCTGGGTGTTTCCACCAATATGTCAAGGCCTTTGAAAATTACCTGTAAATATTGTCACTCACCCTCAATTTTATGTATTTATTGCATAGTATAATAAAAAATTAACGAAGTGTTTCAGCTGTTACTGTATGAGCATTGCAATTGGATTACAATGAGCACCCCCCTAAAATGTAATTAACTGACATATATGTTAGCACTATATGAGAGGGCATCAGGGCAGGCTTACAGACTAGTAACTAACTAAGAACAAGCAGGTACTAGGTAAAACTCTAGCTTTTTAAGTTAATTCAACCATTAACTGATGTTAAAAGTTGAATAAGAATAAAGGCATAGTAGATTCCTATAAGGAATATCAGCACTGGGTACAAATTCACATTTCTGACAGAAATGCTCCAAAAAGGTTATTTTACTCTTTCATAAAGAAATCAATAACTGACATAGGACTAAGGAAATATACATGGACTGAGGGTGCTTACCTAGCATCCTGCCAGCACCATTTTGAATGCCTGGCACTGCATATAGTTCCCTAAGAACTATATGCCAGGTGTCACTCCTGAACACAGAGTCAGGAATAGCTCCTGAGAACTTATAGGTGTGGCCCCAAACTCCATCACCCCCACCCAAAGAAAAGAAAAAAAACCCAACATATCCATTCTTTTTCATTATTTCTCACTTTTTTTATTAGTGAAACACCATGAGGTACAGTTATAGACTTACAAAATTATTTCTCACTTTTATTCTCCAGTTTTCTTTCCTGATTTTAGAACCTGAAATATTCAAGCAGCAGATACTTCTGCTTATTTATGATGAAATACTTTAGTGACTTAACAACTAGGAAGAAGAAGTTAGGTTACTAGAATTCAGTTTATAGGACATTGGAAAAAAATCTGGAATTATCAGTAGCTTCTCTTTTAAGAAAAAGTAATTAAACTAAAGTATGTTTAAAGAAAGTTAAATAACATTGAGGTGCAGGATGTAATTATTTAAAGCTCTTCAAGTTTTATAATTATGTCAATCAATTCTTTTGCCCAGATAAATTTGTCTTTTCTTCTTCTTAATTCTCAGGAGTAAAAATGGTTTAAAGAAGAGGAAACTGACTAAGTAAGTTTTCCTCGCTATTTCATTTAAATGAAAGTGTTCTTAATAATGGTCTCATTCCAAATTAGGGAGTCTCAAAAAGTGCAGATTTGTCTTCTAAGAGGTAATCTGTTACACAGCAGTGTACACACACACATGTGGATGCTGTCCGTCACTTAGCATATCCCAGAGACCTCGTGAGGACTAAGGAACAGTGTCACTCTGTGGAATGTGAAAAAGGATGGGTTGTTGAGAGTTACAGGAGTCTTGCAGAAGGAAGTCGACTGTTCTAAACCTGAAGGGGAGTGGTGGGACATAATATTTAGCTACATCCAAGTGCTAAGCTTTGGCATTTGGCATTTCGCAAGTCTGTGCTAATTGCAGGGAAAGGCTTTTACTCCATTTGATGATGCTGCAGTAAATACTTAGAGAGGAATACTGTCTCAGGAAATCTCTATAATAAGCAGAAAAGGGTAATTAGCGAGTATTTGGTTTCACTTACTGACTGAACTGTTAAGTCACAAGAATTATGGTTCTGATGGGTGAAAATTACCATCAGTTGATTTCAAAAGCCCAATTAGATTATCCCCTCCAGGTCTCTAGTTAAAACTCTACATTTAAAGAATGCACCATTCCTATAAATATAAATTATGCTTGCTACTTGCCTAGAATAGACTATTGGTAAATTAATTTAAGGAGGAAATTAGCAGTTCTAACCAGTTCTGTAATATCCATGCTAGTGAGAAGAAATCATGGAGGGAGTAATATGAAAGAATTTTGATGTAAAAGGGATTTTTATTTATACTGGAGTGACATAATTTTAATGATTTCAACTCTATATTGAGAGAATCATTATTTCCTAAATCTATTTCAAATAGATTACACCAATGGTCTTGATTGGTGGAAGGAAGAGAGAGCAGAGCAGCCTAAACAGAAGAGGCATGGGCAGCTGGGAAGTGATTTGATGAAACAAGACTTTGATACCCCAAACTTTTTGGTTGGGTGCTTCAGTGAAGTGAAGAGGCATAGGCTTACAGGAGCCAGAGGATGGAGAGAGCCCGCCAGGACCTAGTACTCCAAAAGCCAGACAGAGATGAGAAGGAGAAAGAGGATGCAGGAGAAGTTGGGGAAGGATGGGATGAGGTACCTGCCCACAGGCCCTAAACCTCATGTCAAACCAGCTTCCCTCTTCTTGTTTTCCGCCAAATCTTCCTTCTCTAAAAGTCATTTCATTAAAGACTCCCAGTTCATCTATTTCCCTTCTCTCTATCTTTTCTCCTTCACTCTTACTACCTCCCCATGACTATCCACACTATACCCTTCTGAACACACTCACTTTCCCTTTCCTGGCCCCTCTTCTATTTTCATTCTACCTAACTCTTCCTCTCTCCCTCATTTCCCTCTAAATCTTGGTCTCTCTTGTCTTTGCCTCGTCTCAGCTTGCTTTTTCTTCTTCCTGATCTCCTCTTGTCCTTACATTGACTTTTGGATTCCCTATTTCTATCTTTATTCCTTCTTTTCTTTCCTCTCACCTTGCTTTTGCTTGACTAACCCATAACTATCCACTCTGATAGATGCTCCCTGCTCTCATGACAGCCAGAATGGTTAAACCCAACATAGAGGTGAGTACACTGCTCAGGGAGAGCCCAAGTGCTCACTCCAGGCAGGACTGCCATGTCTGGCTATTCTAGTGGCGAGATGGCAAGAATGAATGGGCAAGAATGAATTTGGACCAGGACCCTCCTTCTTGATTCTAGTCATGGTCCCATTGTTTCCTAGGTCTCACCTTGACTGCTGTTCTTAGTGACATAGAGAAGGGAGTCGAGTTGTCCACCTTTCTTAGGGATGGCAGAGTGAGATAGTAGGGGTATTTAGTGTGGTTTTATTATGTAGAAACTTTATTGTCTATGCATATTATCTGGGAGGCATAACACCCTTTTAAGTTCACTAAAATCCAGCTAGACTGATCGTATAGCAGGTAGGGTGCTTGCCTTACACACAGCTGACTCAGGTTTAATTGCCAGCATCCCATATTGTCCCCCAAGCACTGCCCGGAGTATTTCCTGACTGCAGAGCCATGAGTAAACCCTGAGCATAACTGGGTGTGGCCCCAAAACAAACAAACAAGATTAAAATAATAATAATAATAAAGTTCACTAAAATTTGGACAAATAAATTGACAAGGTTAGATTATCAAAACCTTAAACATTGATCAAATAAATATACATTTGCTAACAGGACACAAGGCAACAGGCAGGCAGTTATAAGCTAAGGAACAAAACCAAGGGAAAGGTCAATTCTGAACCCTGATAAGGTACAGGGACAGATGAAAGACCAGAAAAAACTTCCTGGAGAATCTCAGGAGCAAACTGGTAGAAACACCAAGAGACACTTTAGCAAGCTCTAGGAGACATAAGTGACAATGAACACTGTAAGAAATAAAACTTAACTCTTATCCACATACAAGAGGAAGTGAGAATGTTGCTGCAAATATACTAATGACATATTGCAATCCTTTAACAGTCATGCATGGTGCCAGCAAAACAAGGCACTGGGCCCTCTGCAGCCACGTGCTTTGAGCCACGGATACTGCAAGTGCTCTGCAGACAATGCAGTTCCTTAGGTTTGTAAAAACTGCAGCCTAGTTAATTCAATTTTAAAAGAAACCTGCTCAGGGGCCAGACAGATATTACAGTGGGTCAGGTGCTTGCATTGCACACAGTTGATCCAGATTCAATGTTTGGCACCACATATAGTCTCCTGAAACCTCCAGGAGTGAGCTATGAGCACAGACCCAGGAGTAAGACCCGGGAGCACTTCCAGGTTTGACAAAAAATAAATAAATAAAAGAAATGAAACCTGCTCAAACTTGCAAGAGTTTTTACTATTTTATGGGTCCACCTAGTGAGGATGTTTGTCTCCAGTGCTCTATAGATAAGAACTTTGAATCTCACAGTTAGGCAAATGCCCTAAGATCTCTTGGTATAATAAAAGTTGTACTCAGTAGGTCATTAAATCTTCACCCTTTGTTTTTTCTTGCAAAGCAGTTTTCTAGAAAGAGCACACACAAAGAACTGTCATTCATTCATTTTTCTATCTTTAGAAATTTAGATATATCAAATGCCTTTTTAAAAAATATTTTTTAAGTAGCAGTTTAGTTGTGTATTAATTTTCTAGGACTATCAGAACAAAAAACCACAGATTTAATAACATCAATAGCAAAACATCAGTTTCTCTCAATTTCAGGGACTAGAACTCCTAGAGAAATATGTCAGTGAATTAATGTCTCCTAAAGTCTCACTCTGTGGCTCATCGATGTCCATTTTCTCTCTGTGACTTGAGATGATATCTCTTTTTAAGTGTACAATGCCAGGTAACTTTACCAACAACAACAACAACAACGAGTGCTAAGAATTGAAAACACATAGATGTTTTCTCCCACCAAATGGCCATAATGTTGTGAAACATGTGATTGACCAGCAGAATCTCTGACATCTCATTTCTCTGTTTGATGCAGCCCAGTTCAACTGGATGACTTTGATGCCTACATCAAGGACATGGCCAAAGATTCTGACTACAAGTTTTCTCTTCAGTTTGAGGTGAGTGATTCAGAGTTCCTTCTTCCTATGAAAGAGAGGACATGGTTGAATGAAAAAAGTTGGCTTGGTGTTACTTTCAGCGTGTGTGTGTGTGCATGCGCGCGCGTGTGTGTATATGCATGCACACTTGCATGAGCGCAAATACACAAGCTCACACACAGCAGGGGATTGATGTGTAAGACAGGGTCCTAACCCAAGGGTAGTGATGTTGAATCAGCTGGTTCAGAAGGAGGCTGTGAAGAGCAGGGGAGGGTTTGGTTGGTCTAGATGAAGGAAGGAGAGGGCAGGGGCAGGGACTGGCATGAACCAGCATGACTCAGAGACCCCAGCTATGGACAGTGCCGGTGAAACAAGCTGAGCCTGAACACCCGACATCCACGTCTGGGATCTTCTGTGTGGTTTGTTCCTGCTCTACTCTGGCCCCACAACGTGGGCATGGTGGTGGGAACAGATCCTCACTGTCTTCTAGGAAAATGGGACATGACAGTCATGGGACCCCTGGCGCTACTCAATATTTCCTGGTGAGGTTGGGTTTGCCTTTCCGGGAGAAGCTGGGGAGTGTGTCGAGGAAGGGTGTGCTCTGTCCAGGCATCCTCTCCTTTTAGTGAAACTGCAGCCTCATGGAGTTGGAGCCCGTGAGTCAAGGAAACCGGGTTTGCTGCAGGAGGCAATGGTCTTCTCAAGATTTTCATGGCTCAAAACAGTCAGGAGGCCTGTTGATGGGTGATGGCTTCCTAAACCCCGGAGCTTGTATGGGAAACCCACCTAGTCTTCTTTCCCATGGATGAATGAAGCAGCTCCGAGACTTTCCAAAAAGAAAGCAGAATGGAGCTGCTCTCTCCTCAACTCATTTCTTTCGTTGTCAGCCAAGCACCTCTCTGGCCTGCAGGAAGCCATCGTCAGTCACCTTGGGGTATCTGTTGTAACAGGGAGTGAAGGAGAAGAACCTTCCCTAGGATCAAAGGATCCCACATCTGTGGTATGGGAAAGGCCAACTGGAGTCTTCGAGTTAGTCATTGCCTGCAGTGGTGTAAGAAATGGTGGGGCCAGGCTGGAGTGATAACAAAGCAGGGAGAGCGTTTGCCTTGCATGTGGCCAACCTGGGTTTGATTCCCAGCATCCCATATGGTCCCCTGAGCATGCCAGGAGTAATTCCTCAGTGCAGAGCCAGGAGTAACCCCCGTGCATCGCTGGGTGTGACCCAAAAAGAAAAAAAAGACAAAGGAAGGAAGGAAGGAAGGAAGGAAGGAAGGAAGGAAGGAAGGAAGGAAGGAAGAAAGAAAGAAAGATTGAGAAAAAAGAAAGAAATGGTGGTGCCACTTCCAAAGCTGCCTCCCTGAGAACAGAAACTGGATTTCAGTTAGAGATCTGTGAGAAGGTCAGTATTGTGGACAAGCTGATGGATGAAAGGAGACTTTCTGGAACCAAATGCAAGCCGGAATTCGGGAAGATCTAGGTCATTCTGACAGGGATGGTGAAAGCTGCGACCCATGTGTGAAGTCTTGGTCTCTTCTTTTCTTCCTGGTTTTGTGCTCTTGGAAGCACCACTAGGATTTTACTGGGGCGACCAAGACTGCCGACAGCTCATGTCACCAATCCCCAGAATAACTGTTGCTTTGCTGCTGAATTTCCTCATTATTTTAAAAATCCACAAATCATTTCCTGGTAAAATGATAGTTTTGCCTGTGAATGACAGAAACACAAAGAGTTGATACCAAGGTCACAGGGAGTTTTCTCCAAGGATTCTAAGTGATCTCATCAAAGGAAGTGTGGAGGGGCTCAACCATAAGAGGATGGGCAGGCAGACATGGTCCCTCCCCTCAGAGATGGCCTCGTTGCACTTTCACTTCCTCTTCTTCTCTCTGTCCCACCCTCATTTTCTATTGGTGCAAACTAAGCTCTTTCCCAGAGCAGAAAACTGTGAATGCCATCGGCCTCATGACAGTCTCCATTTTCCATGCCAGGGTTTATGAAGGAAACTCTTGACTCTCTTGTATGTGCACTTGGAAATATAAAGCAGCAGTTTCTGTTTGACTGGTCTGGTTCATGATGTCCATTCAGACTGGCTGTGGAATCGCTTAAGAATAGGCCAGCTTTTATGAGGACCACATAAATCCTGAAAGTGGGGAGTTTTACTTCCAAGGAGCTTTCAACAATAAGCCACCAGTTTCCTCAGATGCTTCAGAACCTGCAGAATTTGTATATGCTGAATGTGCGGTTTATTATATACTGGGAGTTTTTATTTATCTAGTGTGTAATTAAACACAACCAGACTCATTTTGGAGGATCTAAGAGGGAGGCAGTAATGTACTAACTGGTCCCAAACCAGGGAGTTCCTGAGGGGGCGGGGTGTGGGAATGTGTGGGAGTGGGTTTAGTTGTTCTAACAGCTTGGGAGGAAGCTTCTAGTGATATTTCGTGGGGATATGGATAGGGGCAATAAGTGTTCTGTGATGAGTGGAACTGTCCTACCCAACAAAAAATTGTTCCAAATAGTAATATTGTCCCAAATAGTAGTGACTATTACTATAGTCATTTGTAAACTCCTGACTCAGTGTGGGACTGTGTACATCCTGGGTTGGTAGCATACATCTATTAGGGTTCTTCAGAGAAGCCAAAAGCCAACAGGATGTGTCTTTCTTGTTTGACTGTTATATGTAAAGAGACACATTCTCTTTTTAATTAAATCATTGTGAGATACAGTTACAAAGCTTTCATGTTTGAGTTTCAGTTCATGCAATGGTCAAAAACCCATCCCTCCACCAGCGCACATTTTCCACCACCCAGTATCCCTTCTGCTCCCATTCCCCACTTCTCCCCGTGCCTCTTTGGCAGACATTTTCCTTTTTATTCTCTCTCTACTTTGGGGCATCATGATTTGCAATACAGATACTGAGAGGCCATCACATTTGGTCCTTTATCTGCTTTCAGCACACATCTCCCATCTCAAGCAATCTCCCCAACCATCATTGACTTAGCGGTCCCTTCTCTATCCCAACTGCCTTCTCCCTCAGCTCATGATGCAGGCTTCCAATCATGGAGCCTGGCCTTTGAGAGAGACACATTCCTAAAAGATCAAAGATGGAAAGATATATCATTTATGTGCCAAGTGTGTATGCACACATGTATCAGGTTAGAGAGAATGATTAATTTTGTTATGGTAGCCGACAAGACTGACATGTGCTGGGCCATCTGGGGATGTTGCCAGTCAAGTCCAAAGGCAGCCTGAAGGCAGAATCCTTCCTCCTTGGGGAACTGGTGGCACTGCCATTTGCTGCTCTTTTCTTTCAAGGTCCTCCACTAAAAGTATTGGACCTGCTCATATTATCCCCTTGACTCAAAAATATGCTTCATATAAAAGTGAATAGGGGACCAGAGAAGTCATACAGGTGTTAAGATGTTTGCCTTGCTTGCAGCTAACTTTGATTAGAGCCTTGGCCCTATGTGTGGGCCCTGAGCACCACCCAGGGGTCACTCCCAGAGATCAGAGACCGGAATATCCCCTAAGGACTGCCAGGTATGGCCCAATCTCCCTGACCCAAAGAGGTGGGAAGCAAGGTGGGTAGGCATATGACTTAAGTGGCAGAGCAACATGCCTGGTGTGTAACAAGGTTCTGAGTTCAACGCCCAGCACCTCATGCCCACTGCCCGCCTCTGCGCACTACTCACCCGTGCTTGGCTGAGCTCTTCCTGGAATGGCCCAGATCCCTGAGCACAAAGGGTTATAGTCCTTATGAAAAGAATAGGATTTTTTAAAAAACACCTTTACAGAACACCTCTGCTGAAGCTGGACCAAACCACTTGGCATTACCGCCTGACCAAGTAGACACATAAAATTAAATATTATACTGTGATTTGGGGACATGCTTAGTGTTATTATGAAGCACTTTCCCCCATCTTAGAGTTTGAGAGGTCATCTACTGAGTTAGTGCTAAGTTAGTGTTGTAATACCTCGGCACCGGTAATAAAGCACAACTTTCTATCCAAACATCTACTGAAGTCACAGGCTCAGATTGCATGTTTTGGTTCACATTTGCTTAAACAGAGGCTCACTGAGCTGACTTACTTCATTTTTAACCATTTCCCAGGCATTCCCAAGTCTTCAGTTTCATCTGGCACCCACTTCCATAGCCAAGTGTCAGCCTGTCCTAATCTATGGACAAAGCTGTGTAGTCTTCCCTACCCTACCCGATTTCAGGGTGCATATCACACCTTCCCACAGCATCTCTCAAGCTTTCTTGAAATTGATAATCAATAGAAGCTTAGCACTGTAGCACTGTCCTTCCGTTGTTCATCGATTTGCTTGAGTGGGCCCAGTAACATCTCCATTGTGAGACTTTGTTCTTACTGTGTTTGGCATATTGAATACGTCACGGGTAGCTTGCCAGGCTTTGCTATGCGGACGAGATACTCTCGGTAGCTTGCCAGGCTCTCCAAGAGGGGCGGAGGAATCAAACTTGGGTCAGCTAGGTAGGCCGCATGCAAGGCAAATGTCCTATCTGCTGTGCTATTGCTCCAGCCCTCAATAGAAGTGTAAGGGGGAAAAAAATGTTTCCTGCTCTCAAGGGAATGCAAGAGGGTATTAAGTTGACTGATTCCCCTGGTTTTATCAGATCCAATGGCTGAATATTATGTATTCTTTTTATATTAGTAGGAAATGCTTCCATCCATTTGACATTGAAAGATCACATCATATTGAACTGCATCATTTATAAGTATTATGCAAACTGAAACTGATATCTAGACTTACATATATTACTGATACAGTTGTAAGTCATACATAAATCTTATGTGGGTAAGCTACTTGGTATTCATTGAATAAATTCCCTTTTTCACTCTGCATCTAATTTCAGATATGTTGGAGAGATTGACTAACCTTTTGACGAAAATATACATCCTTTGTTGAGAGAGTTGGACACCTAGGATTAAGTTCAATTTTTCATTCATTAGGTCTTATGTGGAAAACTTTTGATGATTAGACTTCACAGTTTGAGATTTGAG